GCCTGTGTTATTTCTTGAAAATAACAGCGAAATTGAATCCATTTTAAAAATTTATAATGGCTGTTGATGTTATTCAAGTTTCTTCAATCAATAAAATCGATGGGAAATTTTCGAGACATACTTTTCTTTTGTACATGTGAATGTGATTGTCTAATTAACTCAGAAAACAAATACATAGCATCAATAAAATCGTTACGATTATTTTGGGTTATGAGACTTTTCATGTTACTCACGCCCATACCCTGAATGTCTCATTTAATATTTTTTAGTTGAAAAATTGTTTTACTAGGAAACGTTTTAAACAAAAACAGCTAACGATAAAAAATGTTTTAAGATAATTTTTTCTCTAACTGTTTTGAGTAAACTTACGTTTGATCAAAAGTTCTGATAACGCTGAATAAAAATACGAAAAAAAACGAGATATATTTAATTTTATTCTACTAGATGTTCAAAAATGTTACCATAATTATTCTAATCAAGTTTGATGCTTTCTAAGAATTTGTTAAAAGTTTGTTTGAGCTGGTTTGCTAAAAAATTTTTTTCTGTGTTGAAAACCGTATGAGCTAATCATGTTTCATTTGTTCGACCAGCCAAAATGCGCTTGATATAATCATGTAGCCAAAAAGTATACAGGACAGAGAAAAGTATTTTTGCCTAATGTGACACCATACCGATACTTTATTCTGTTGAATCAGTATACATATTTGAATGAGTACGAGGTAAAATATTATCATCTAACAAGTTTACAATTTTTTGTATGATAACTATCTTATCTTTTTTTCTGTTTCATTCAGAAGAAATGTGAAGTAACTTTCAATATAATACTTCTGATTTACAGTCATGTCTTTATCTATGCTATGTATATACAGGACACCATTTAATTCAAGGAATATACAAAAAAGGACATTTCAAATGTGCCTCCATGAACGGTGTGGATTTGATCGTCTATTTCTGCGTATAGTAACAAACATTCGCACTCTCAAATCATAGAAAACTATTTATTAGCGTACTTAATAAATAAGATGAATACACTTATGTCATATTACACTGTGTAATATAAGAGTCCTTAAATTTTAATCTATGCTTTATATAATTCATTTTCCAATTTTGTTGTGAGAGAAATTTTCGTATCTGTATAGTAATAATTAACAGAATTCTCTGATTTTAACTGTCGAATTTCATTTGCTAAATAATTTATTATTTTTGACTTACTATCTGCATCTATTTTTTCACTTCAAGCAAATTCTGTGAAAAGTTTTGGTATTTCATAAGTTCCTGTGGCATTTTCATTATTAAAAAGACTCCAATAAATTATTGATAAATTCATTTAATGATAAATGTATTAGTGAAATCTCCATTACAAAATATTCTTTCACAAGATTTTCATCAAGTTACTTAGGGCATACCAAAAGTAACGGTACTTACACTTTAAAACCGTATAATAAGCTTCCAGAAATTTCTCTCTATGTAGTCTGATAGAGAAAAAAATCCTTTACTTTTCTATGTCATATGATCATACTTCAACTAATATCATAATAATAAAATTTCAATAAGATCTTTTTTTCTATTATATGTGACGATTATGCTAATGGCCTATTCAATGAATATTTTTTGAATAACTTTTGATAAAAATAAGATAAAGAGCTACGGTTTGCACCGTTAGAAACCAGAGATGAAGACGCATCGAATTGCATATTATATATATTTTTCTAGATACTATCTGAAATTTCTTCAGTATTGTAGGTCTTCCATTGACCGTTTGAATGCACACCTGGCAATTGAAAATTCGCTGTAAGCACCTTATGGAGTTGGTTTATTTTCAAAGAAGTCGAATGAAAACCTTTAAAAAGTCATGTCCACAAATCAATAATAAAATTCGATGCATCTTCATTTCCTCTTTCGAACGGTGAAAACCGCAGCTTTCTATCTTGTTTCTATCAAAAGTTATTCAAAAAATAAACACTCCAATTAGTATAACCGTCACATATGATAGAATAACAGATCTTATTGAAATTTTATTATTATGATATTAGTTGAAGTATGATCAAATAGCATAGAAAAATAGAGAATTGTTTTCTCTATCAGACTATATAAAGAGAAATTTCTTAAAGCTTATTATATGGTATTAAAGTGTTAACACCCTTACTTTTGGTATGCCCTAAGTATGTGTTGATGGTATTTATGATTACTTTATGATCAGACAAGTTCATTGCTGAAAGTAATGTAAAAGCATTGGTTCTTGCTGGAAAATATGGATGATAATTAAGCATCTTTTCCAGAAGTTTAATCATCTGAGCTCTATTAAAATATTGATTCTTTATTTTTCGATATAAATAATCTTCTTTTTGAACTCACGCATAGACCAAAGCTAATAAATTTTCATATAGTATCATTAATATCTTTAAAACTTGTCATTTTTAATATTAACCATTTCATTAAATTTTTCATTAGAACAATGCTTATTGAAATATTATTTAATATATTTAATATTGTTTTATTCATATCTTCTGAAACGTTAAAGTTGCAACGACCTATATACTTGATTTCATCATAAGTACATCATGAAAGATCTGCAACGTTAATCGTTATCTGGTTGATTACTTTTGATTTCAGTTTTTCAAAATATATTTCATCAGTAGTACTTGTTGAAGCACAAACTTCATCAGAAATAAATTGTATGGTTTCTATATCTGTACTTGACAAATATAACTTTTCTATAAATTGACATGGATCTGTAACTGACAATACTCTTGTAAATGCAGTCCAATTATTTGCTGTAATCTGAGAAAGTCTTGTTAAATTCATTGTCGAATGAAGTAATTCTTCCACATACTGCGGATGCGATGGTAATTCTAATGTTTACATTACTAAATTCCAAGTATGGTCATGTATAAGGTACATTTTTTTGAAACGCTGCATTCTTCGTCCACTGATAGAGTTGCTCTTGTACAATTGATTTACATATTTATTTCAGTTTCGAAAAACTATAGGATCATTCCAATGTAAGTCGTAGAAAGAGGTAGCCAAGAAAGTTCGAATTTGTGGAAGATGTTATTTTACTAACATATTTTGAAGAATCTTGATCAACGTTTTCTCTCCTATCATAGATACTTTTTTCGTGGGTTCTTGGGCATCTCTTTCTGAATGTTGAAAAGTTCGTTGAGCTCTATGCCTCATTTGATCATTATCACTTCTTTAGTATGTCAATAATTGTATCAATTGCTAGTTCAAAAACATAGTTCGCTTCTACAAGTAAAAGAGCTGACAAAGTTTTAATTTGGCTGTTATTATATTGAATAAACCACCTGTGAACCAATGGTAATACTTTATTTGATGGTTTTATAATTTATGGAAAAAGAATTGAAATAGTACCAATGTTTAATATATTTTCAATATTTGACCGATTATCAGTATCTCTAGAAAGATTCATCCACAATTGATTTGTGCTTTCTGTTTTATTAAGTATTAATTTTGTGTCATTCAATTGTGCAAATAGTAAGAATACAGCTAGAAGTTCAGTATAATCTGGAATATCTACAATTCCATTGTCAAGATTTTGACTTATATCTAAACTTAAGTTTGAAGTATGAATTTCAAATTTTTCAGTAAATAATATTCTTTCAAAGTACGAATTGGCAAAATAATTATGCATTTTATTCTTAAGCGTTTCTATAATTCCATCAAGCTTAATTTGAAGATTATCATAAATACTAATTATTGATTTTAATTTAATAATTGATTTAATTTTGTCATCATTTTCATCCATTCTAAGAAGAATTTCTACAGTATTTGTTAAATACGTTTTTCGAAATACTTATGATCCATAAAACGATAATCTTTTACTGACACAATAATTTGATTATCAAAACCTTCAATATTGTCAAATTTTAAAATTAACTCGTCGACTATTTGTTGAATGAATAATTTGTGTTCTACTACCTTATAATGAACGACGCTAAAAATCTTTTTCAAAACTTGAAACTTCAGGGTGTTGATGGTAGTGTTCTTCGCCCACACTCGTACCCTGCATTGACATTCAAAAGTATCAGGACTGCTATTCAAAAAAGGTAACAAGCGTTATTTATTTGGTATTATTATTTTCTTGTCGTTCATAGACACTGATGAATTGAAACATTTATACGACTATACTGAAATCTGTGTTACATCTAAAAATAAACGCTAAAGAACGGAAATCTGAGATATCATTCTGCAACAAAGTTTCTTGTTTTCAAAAGTCAGTTTCCATCGAGTACCAATGAGCGACTGACGGCAATCCATGATTATTAATGGTTATTATTTCTAGAAAATAGCACGATATATTCATGGATATTGAAGAGTTATGAACTTTTAAATGATCTACATTTGGATATAACACAGATTTCTGTACTGTCGTAGAAATATTTCAATCGATCAAAATCCATGGAGCGTATAGATCCAATACTATATGAAATATAAAAAATAATAATGCAAACTCAACGACGCTTACTGTTATTTTCGATTAAGGCAGTCTGGAAATTTTGAGTCTTCTATTCAATATGATATAGTGAACAGCTTACAAGTAATTTTCAGATAAATTTCTTATTTATTGCAGGATGAATAGAACGGGATAATGAGAAAAATAAATAAATAAAGAAACTTTATTATACTATCAGCTCGAAAGTATCGATATTCCAGATTTAATTTTTTGCTAACACTTACGTGACGAGAATTACTGATTGTTTTGAAATGGTCTCTCTCAAGCTGCCTGTGAGTTTTCTTCACATTTGTCTGCAGTGAAAATAATGACTTTAAAATCTCATTAGTCTTCTCATTTTAACACCTTTTGTTCTTAGTAAAATTCAACATTATTCCTTGCCCAACTTTTAAATTAAAATAATTTATGTTCTACGACGAATAAATAGATAAGCGAGGATCAATTCATTGAATTATAGAATTTTCGAAATTGTCGATATAGATAAAAATTACGAGAAAAAAAAAACTGTAAATTTGATATACACTTTTTCAAGTCGTATGCTATGCACAATCTATACACAACCAATTATAATTCACCAGTCACTCATAAACACATCTAGAACGTTTAATAAACACTTATTGTGATTTCATATAGAAAATTTTATTCATTCGATTGTCACGTTTTGAAAACTAGTTTGAGTGAAATAGCCAGTATGTTGTTAAGATTAGCGCAACTAAACTATAATTAATACAGTGCTGACGTTCTAACCATAATAAATACTTTATCGTTGTTCTTAACTGTGTCTCTAATTACTTTGTCTAGTGAATAAAATGACAATGATGGAGACTTTCAATCATAATTTTTTCGTTCGATCCATTAACAGTGAATCATTTTTCTTCTTTTAATGTAGCTTTCACTCTAAGCGAAGAAGACTAGGTAACTATCACAGATAGAAAGTGTATTTTGTGAATAACGATTTGATTTTCTAAATTAACTGAATATATCTTGTAATTGCATTGAAAAATAAGCTCAAGTGCGAGAGTTCAACTTTGTTATACAACCGTTCTATAGTCATATGTGTTCTCTGTATCATAACAAATAGAGTTTCGTGTGATTTGGCATACAGATAGTAAGCGTTAAATTCGAAATTTGTAGTTCTGTTCCAATACTATTTTAGTCCTCGTTCACACACTAAAATAAAATGTGTCGCACTTTGCAACACATTTTGAAAACATGGTTCGAATCTGCTATACAGCGCATTTTGATTTTTTTAAAGCAAATTATTACATATTTTTCAATTTAATTCCATTTAATTATTGCTATTCTGAAAACTAGATCAGGTCAGATTTTGAGATCTGTCAGACTGCTTCAGAGTAGTCCTCACTTAATCATCGATCAAGATCGGCATGTTCTCGATTTATAAATATTCGAGAAATAATCTAAAAACAGTTAATATGAAAATACAAAAGTTTCGTATGTTCAATTGCGTTGTCTATATGTAGCTGTACGTCTAAGACAAAACAATAAATGAATAGTCAGCAGACAGAACGAAACAAATTTATATACGACACGTTCTAATCACGGCACATTTTTGCCATTGAGTCTGCGACGCTATAATTCACAATACATAAGTGCGACACATTTTATTTAGTATGTAGAATCACAGTGGAAATGTTTTCAATTCTAGTGATTCATTAAAATATTTATTTGAAGAGCAAAACACATGCAATAAGTATTATATGAAGATAAAAACTAGCTTTGATACCACCAGCTTCGTTTATATTCTGTGTGTTACAGTAATTCGTATAGCAGCACGTTATATTCATATAGATGTTGGGCGTCATTAACATTTGCTGACACGTCGTATTTCCCACTACAGTCCATGCCCATTTTTGCGCTTGTGCTTGTTGTTCCTGTGTTGTACAGCTCTGATCATTAATAGAACAGATATATTTGTACCTCGTGCACACGCATGTATCGTTATTGCAATTGTCTGACATCATGCTCGTGTCCACTGGTATCACAGGGATAGAAGAACCCGACAATCCAGAATAGCAGATAATAGCCGAAATGCCAGAAATAATACAGACCAGCAAGAGAAGAAAAACGAACAGCTTCATATCTACCAGAGTGCGTATTCAAATGAAAGTATGTGCCCTCTGCTTCACTAATTGTTATTCGAAACTAAATATGCACATAGAAAAAAATAATATGCGAAGTCAATACATGCATTTGCAAGTGTTTATATGCCATTCTTTTTCTTTTCATTCACTCTCGCAAAAAGAAATATAACCGATAAAAATCGATATGCACTATTCTGTGTCGTCATGATCAAGAAATATATTTGAGATATTAACTCTTTGATAAGAAATATACACAATTTGACTCAAATAAATAGTACCAAAACAAACAAATAATCTCGCCTACCTTTTTCTGTTCGTTTTGAGTGTTTCCAACCGGCCATATCAAGTATAAATATCGAAAAAACGAACAAAATAATTGTAATTATAGTAACAAAAAGTGATAAATAGTGAATTTTGAATTTATTGTATTTATTTTCAACGTTTCGATATTCTAAAAGATTATTTTCAATAGGCAAAGCTTCAATTTTAATAAATTTAATTTTATTATCATTTTCTTTAGTACCCTAATCTTCGAGTATTTCTATAAATTGCAGACTCAAAACCATCATCTAATGATTCTTCCAAAGGCGTTGTCCATCATCAATTAGTAGTAATACAAGAAGACCAAAGCTGCTCACACAACTGATCAATAAGATTAATGATAAACATTTGTTATTGTTAAAGGTAATAACTTAAGTATAAATGAATAAATAACAGCGGCTTGAAATAACATTATTACATGAAAGAAATTTTAGAAATGCCCAATTATTCGACGTTTCGATGAATCTATGTCATCATTTTCAAGATTTATTTTAGTAAATGTTTTTTGAAGGAGAACTACAGCATAAATCAACAAGAGAAAGAAAACAACGAATTTAAGTTCATCATTGACCAAGATCAAGTAACCGAGGGTGTGAATGTGATCCTCTTCAACGACTCACACTCCATCAATCCATCTTACACCCATATCTGCAGCCACATCCACAACAACACCTAGACCATATTATTTTTTGTCTTACTTTTCCCCTGTTTATTGCGCAGTTGAAAAAGAAAATATATGACGTTATTCTCTTTGCTATGTAGCTTGAATTGTAACTTGAATAATCAGAAATGAAATCCATCTATGCAGCATTATTGTTTTTTCTACCGGAATCATTTTTCCTAATTTATTATAGTTCTCTGGCCAAAAACAAAAAAAGTGGAACATATGTCTCACTGGTCATGAAAGGATTAAGAGAGAATTCATGAGTCGAGCAGGATGTGCTTAACATAACAAAGAACACGTTGGTTTTCGAAAAATGCGGCAAGAGAATAGAGACCGCCGTGTTTCTTATGAAACATGTGAGTTTATTCAAGGACGAGACAGAAGTCGGCTGAATTTATTCTACTGAATAGATTCCTATTTACAATGATATTAACGTCTTGGTCTTGCTTAAGAATTTTATCAAATCTTATATAGAGTAATAAGGGTCGATGCTTATTGAAAATGCATCGATATATTTGTAAAACTTGTATCATTTCCATTTTACAAGGTTTTCAAATTTTGTTTTCATCAACTAGATAAAGCAATAGATTTTCTCTCGATTGGTGAAGTTGTCTTGTTGAGATTTGCTTATGAACTCTAGTGGTGAATATTTTTCCCAGTCATACTCTCGACTAACGAGGGAAGGTCACCAATTGTTCAATCACTTTTGTGTTGAAACTATTTGCATTATGTAGCTCCAAGGGAGTTATGAATACTCTGAAAAATTTTGGGTAGCTAGCTTATTGTTACGAAAACATTTCATTTGCAAGGTGTGGTTTTAAATGAGTCCTATGGTCCTCCTCAGGCACATCAGAAAAATTGATTTTCGAATTTCGACTTGAAACATTACATAGAAACGGGTACCGATGAGAACAGCTTTTTTTTATGTTTCAGATCTTGCTATTGTTCCTATACCAGACACAGCTATTGTGAAATCAAGCGACCTGAAACTTTCACGAAATATTATTCCCGTTGAGGCCTGTTTCTATGTAAAGTTTCAAGTCGAAGTTCGAAAATCAATTTTTCTGATGTTTCTGAGGGGGACCACAGGACTCATTAAAAACCACACCTCACAAATGGAATATTTTCGTAACAATAAGCTAGCTGTCCACAATTTTTTCAGAGTATTCATAACTTCCTTGGAGCTACATAATACAAATAGTTTC